GCAATTGACATGGTTCTTTTTCTAGCCTGGTACAAAATATGACCTGGATTGGTTAGCAAGATGTAGACAGATAGGCATGTTTGTTCAAACTACTAAAGGGGAGAGGGGAGAGGGGAGAGGACTTTTCTGAAAGTTCAGAATTACCTTCTAGAGACAACTCAGAATCACTGTTGGGTATCTTTTGTGGCTCCTGTGGCTGTTCATTCACGGAAGGAAGCAGAGTGCTTTGTACAGAATTATTGTCTTCCCTACTTGAGTTGGTGGACTGGGAACTATTCCATAAGGAGGAAGTCCTGTAAGTCTTAATTCTCCGCTGGACCAAACAATTGTCAGAGGACATCTGAGGCTGAGCAGAAAAGCCATACAGCAATGTATACCTTGGTCTCAGAAAAAGTCTTCTGATTTGTGTAGCATTAATGAAGCTACTCAACTTAATTGCACTGAACCATCTGGGTACCCGTTGGGCTGACAGGGCCATTTTTCTTAAAGTTGCCTACAATGGAAAAATATAACCATGAAAAGAAAACAAATTTAATTTACTTAAATGTTTAAAACAGTATTCAAATAAAAGAGAAACCTGAAATTATTATTTTCTAAATGAAAGGTGTTGAGTCAGTTTAGACAACTAAAGTAATCAGGCGTTACTTAATCACATGAAAAGCCCAAAACAAGGCAGCCTAGCTTACAAATCAAAAGACAGGGACTTCTGGATGGGAAAAATAAAGATATGCTTTACAATTTGAAAACAAAAGCGGAATCACCAGTGTAACAAAAAACATTTAAAACAAAAATCTGTAAATGTTCAAATTATGGTTGAACTCCATCATCTCTCTTAATCATTTAAAGAACCCAGGATCGCTATGAGTCAGAATTGACTCAACGGCAACGGGTAAGATGATGCAATTCAGTGTTCTTGAAATTTGGTTTGAAGGACATTTAAGAAGCAGTTGCTGATCAAAATAACATTATTCAAATGTGTTTTATCTACTATTGATTAGTCACAAAATAAAAGCAGAAAATAAAATCCACTGTCTTAAACGAATCATCAAAATATTATCATTGTTATACCAAACTGTTTCTTGATTCATCTTCAGAGCTGAACACTTGATTATTTCATAAATAAAGCTGTTCCTTAAAGGGAATTGAACAAAATCAGTTTTGTCAAATTCTGTTTCACTGTAGGAAAAAATAAAAGCCTTTGAAAAGAAAAGGTCAAAACTAGCAAGCAAAATGAAGTGACAGAAATACATAAGCAACTGGTAATGAATATGCATATTTAGACAGAAAAAGTAGCCGTTTTTAAAGATGTTTCTCAGGAAAGTCTGTCACTACTTTAAGCCCCATAAATATGAAGGAATTTTACATCTAGCCTGACTTAATTAGAAAAGTAAATATGATGCAAATATTTTACACAAAATAAAATAATCCATATACAACACAATGTGGAGTCCAGCATATAGAAAATGCTCAATAAGCATTAGCTAGTATTATTATTGATTATGCAACCAAATACAAATGAATTGTTTAATTAATTTTTCCATATAACTTTTTGTTTTGTTTTCTTACCTAATGGAATTCAGCCTGGTTTATGCTCTGAATTAATCTGACCAATTATTTGAGGGACTAGCCTCCTGTTTGAGATTTGTAGTTTAAGGAGGTTTGCTGAAAGAGATTTTTAAGAGTGAAAATCTCACCCTGAAATAATTTTAAAAAGGAAATAAGTATTCACAATAACCTTGTGGGAGAGGTGATTTCTTGTTAGATTTTGGTAGGAAGTGAGCCTCCAAATCTAACTGGCAAGTTTCTCTCAAAGCTACATTCGTTCTCTGCACAGCAAAGTCATAAAGGCACTAAAGTGGAAGCCAGAAAACCTCAGTCATGCTACCTTGACAAAATTAGGTTTCTTGTGGTGGTCTAACACAAAACCTGGCCCATGATGGGGGCTTAATAACTATTCTGTAATTTTTTTTTTTTAAATCATGAGTACAATAAGATGATTTTCAAGGTACCTGGCAGCTCTAACATTTCTTGACTCCTATGTTGTCTAAGCAATTCGACCTACTTTGAAACAAACTCCTGAAATCCTGAGTTCACTGCAAACCCATTGCTGTCAGTCAATTCTTACTCATAGCGACCCTACAGGACAGAGTAGAACTGCCCCACAGGGTTTCCAAAACTGTAATCTTTATGGAAGCAGACTGCCACATCTTTCTCCCATGGAGCTGGTGGGTTCGAATTATCAAACTTTCAGTTAGCAGATGAGCTAACTATGGCTTTTGAAGCTTTTCCAGATTCAAGTTAATAACCTTCCTACGTTAGGCAGATAAACTTTTGAATTCCATCCATATACATTAAGACATTGTGCGTACAACTAATGTCTATCCTTCTCTTTCTATTTCCAAGTGCACCATTTTCTTTACATCATCATTTCACTGCTGTTTATTCTTCTTAACAATTGATTGTTCGTTCACTAGAGTAGGGTTGGGTCTCATCTCTGGATCCATCTTCACAGTGCCTAATCCCCACTAGCCCAGAGCCTCTAACTGCTCGAGTGTTTGTTGAATGAAAATGAATCAGTAGCAACTACGGTTAACTCACTTGCCTATACAGTATTCAAAAGCAAGCAACGGTATTTGCAGATGTATATAAAAGCCCTGCGTAGTGATGAAAATAAGTCTTCTAACACGATTCTGTTACTATGAAGATTAAAGAAAAAACCTTTAAAACACTCTTAAATCCATTAAAGTATCATACACAAGTTTTCAACTGTGTGCCTAATACAAGTAACTTCGCTGAGAGGCACTGAAATACATTGTTTCTCTTTTTTCCCCCAAAAGCTCAGGATTTCTGCTTCTGTACCGGCTGCTAACCAAAAGGTTGGCGGCTGGAACCCACCCAGCAGCTCTGCGGAAGAAAGACCTGGCAATCCATAAAGATTACAGCCAAAAAACTCTGTGAGGGCAGCTCTACTCCGTCATATGCCGTCCCTGAGTTAAAATCTACTTGACGGTACCTAACAGCCACAAAGGCTAATAAATGAAATCAGTCTATTAAAGGGGTAGTAGGGGCTTGTAATAAAGAGCCTCCCAAATAATGTGTCACGCCCTCCCCAGACCACATTTTAACAAGTCAATGTTAGTTTCCAAAACCGAACGTGAGCGGGAAGGCAGTTTAGACGCTGGGCTTCCTTCAGCGTCCTCTGCAAAGCTCGCTAATAAACAAGCATGGTTACGTTTTTGTCATATGAGCCAGAAAACAAAAAACAAAACCAATTCTTCTCGATAGAGCCGCGAAGACCTAAAGGCCTGGAGGGAGGTCCAGGGGCGCAGCCTAGACGCGGGTGTGTCTAGGGCCCGAAGGCGTCGGACCCCAGCCCGAACCGTGCCGCTCCGCTCCTGCGGCTCCTACTTTACCTGTGGCGAGGCCTGCCCCGCGTCGCGACAGCCTAGATGGCCGGCCCCGCGCCCACTCCAGACACGCAGCCCGCCGGCCGGTCCGCGGCTGAGCCCCTGCGCCTCGGTGCTTCGGCGCCCACGTGGGCTGCGGCCGGAGTGGGCGACACCATCTGCAAGTCTGCGCGGGGGGAGCGCGGGCGGCATTTGGGGCACAGAGACCGCCAGGGGTCACAGATTTCCGTCCTCTTCTCGCTTTTTCCCTCGGACCGCGTCCATTAGGAGTCTGAAGACTTCGTGAGTACCCAGAGACGCCTCTTCCAGAGCGCCAGTTTGGGAACAGCCCGCGGCGCACCCCGCCCGGGGCCTCGTTGGCGGCGCCGCGACCCCGCCCTCCTGCGCCTGCCCTTTCTTCTGCGCTCAGCCTTTGCTCCGCGCCAGATCCGGCCCAGCTGCCGGCCGCTTTTCCGCTGCGGTTCTCCACCTCTGAGGTCCCAGCCTCCGGGCCGGGGCCGCCACCGCCGCCGCAGGACGGGGAGGCGGGCCATGGCGTCCTGCGTGGGGAGCAGGACCTTGAGCAAAGACGATGTGAACTACAAGATGCATTTCCGGATGATCAACGAGCAGCAAGTGGAGGACATTACCATCGATTTCTTCTACCGGCCGCACACCATCACCCTGCTCAGCTTCACCATCGTCAGCCTCATGTACTTCGCCTTCACCAGGTGAGGCGAGCCAGACGGCGCGAGGGACGCGCCCGAGGGCGCGGGTAAGAGGCGGGAGGGAAGCGGTGGCAGGAAGGGTGGCCCGAGGTGGCTCTGGGGTGAGGAACCAGACCGGCTGCTCCACGAACACACTCTCGCAACCCGCGCAGACGCGCCGCCCACGTAGCTCCACCACCCGCCTAGTGTCTCACTGCACACCCCAGCCCCCTCCCCTCCAGCTTGTCTGCACTAGCGTACGCCCTTACCCTCTCCACAGCCTTCCCCCCGCCCCACCCAGGTCTCAACATCACCCTCTCCCGAGCAGCGTCTCCGGCCCACATTGCTAACATACGCGGGCCACCGAGCATGAGCCCCTCTCTCCTACAGCACTCAGCATAGCTCCCCCAACATATCACGACGCAGCCCCCTCCTCTGCACCCCGTCCAGCCCCCGTCCCTACCTAGCATACCGCATGAATCATCTCTATGCATCACTTTCAGCACACACACAGTACTACACACATAAAACACCTCTGCCGACAGCGCCTGAAGACCACAGCACCTCAAACCATGCACTTACCCAGGGCACAATGCAGACCCTTCCCGTGGAACTCCTCCAGTATTCAGCACGACGTGCCGAGCACACAGAATGTACACGAGGCACAGCACACATTCCTTTCCCATGCAGCAAATCC